GTCCCTCATTCAGATGATCCAAGTTTAGCTTATATACTATGAACCCTAAAACCCTAAACCCTATCTTTACTGTGCGATTCCCCCTAAACCCTAAACCCTAAACCCCTATCTTTATCGCGCGATTCCCGAAGAAGTGTTGGAACTGCCCGGGAGGTCGCTGGCAGGTCTTGGTACGTGTTGCACCCGCACCTTTGCGGCAGCTAGACCTACGGTTGATGATTTTGAATCCGGCATTACTTGAAGGACCCTAAGCTATGGCTTATATTTAGGGTTTAGAGTTTAGGGTTTATATGGGTAATGCAGGATTTCTACCATCAGCCGTAGTAGTAGGGTAGGTAGCCTTTAACCTTTTCGGGGTATTGCAGTCCCGAAACCCTATAAACCCTATAAACCTTACAAACCTTACAAACCCTAGTATACTCTAAGCCCTAAACCCTAAACCCTGCAAGTGGTTGACGTGTTCTCAAGTATGCAGCTGCAGAAACTGGAGCGAGGGAAGCGACTGAGCAGCGGCACACACGCGGCAGCTATACTTCTTTTCTCCAAGACCCCAGACTCGATCAGAATCAACTGCGGAAGACCAGACAGCGGCTGAAGCAGACTAGCTGAAAAGCTTGCATGTCCCGGTCCCCGGGTGCTACAGAAAATAAATGTGATCCTGAACTAAGAAACATTCAGTCGTCTCTTCAGACTCCAGCTCACTAGCGACCTGGACTGGCGCGTTGTCCAAAGGAGGTAGTCCTTCTGCTTTGCGGCGTCTGGCGGACTTCATACTGGGATCCTCGACGATTCTCCACGCATGGTTCATCCTATAGAACAACTCCATCTCGTGGCCCCCGTTCGCCTTCGTCAAGGAGTTCGCGAGCTGCGCCTCCGAGTGTACCCACCGTACATGTAGCTGCGTTCTTTGCTGAGCCTCTTTGACGCTGAGGAGTTCAAGGTTGGATTTCCGTTCCGCTCCTTTGATAGTGAGGACTTCTGTGTTCAACTTATCGTACACATTCCTACTGTCAGTCACGAGGGTTCCGGGAACTTTGCGAACACACTCATCAGGGTTTCGAACATCCAACTCCCCAAAACAAATCTCACTCCACTGGTACCTCGCGTAGTACAACAGATCTTCTCCCGAGATTGCAGCCTGGCTCTCGGAGGCTCCTGGGCTTCTACAAGCTCTGTCAATCTTGTTAGAATGCCAAGACATCAAAGAAAGCTGTCCCACAGCCCCACTCATCATTGAAGAAGGCGCCAAACCAATCAAGATCCCTTGGGTACTACTGCCATCAGGACGATTCTGGGAACCAGCGTCCACCCAAGCATACATTCCTAAGGACTCCGACTCATTGAAGGCATGAAGAATCATCGCATGATCTTTCCTTGCCCTCACCTGAAACAACAGCTTATTAGCCCTCAAAATCAGCGAAACTTGACTTCTGCTAACCTCCGAAAGCATCAAGCTGACATCTGCTGATATGTGGGGTGCCACTTGTTGAGCATGCCAACTCAAAGCACCAAGTAATCCCCGAAGTTGGGATTTCTCCTGAGCTGTCGTCTCGTCCTTTTCTTGCTTACGGCGAGTGCTGCTCAAAGCGATTTCAGGAATCCCTGCCACGTAGTTCGGTTGGGAGAGCTTGAAGTGATTGTCCCCTCGAGTCACTTGCACACCACACTGAACAAACACATCTTTATCCCAATCTCCCCACTTAAAGCGTTCCTTGATGTTGCGGATAATCGTCTGCCATCCAGGGTCTTGTTCATTCCCTGAAAACAGAAAATCGTCCACGTGGCCCGATATGATTCCCGTGATCACCCCGTTTTTCCGGTAAACCCAGGCACAAGCGTCAGACCAAAGCCTAGTGAGCCCCTGAGCCTCAAAGTACTCAGCCACCGTTCGGTACCATTCCAGGGGGGCATCAACAAGGCCGTAACAAGCCTTCCTCATACGAACCACACTACCACCTTCCAGTCCCATCGCCTGGCAGATTTCATCACATGGCACGCACAGCAGAGTCTCTGGATATTCGCGGCCCTGGAGGAATGCTCCACTCACATCCCCTTTGTACACTGGCCACTGCTTATTCAGGGCGACCTGGAGTAGCATCTGACGCGTCTGACGCGTCATGACAGGACTCGATCGTAGTGGACCTATGGGCATAGGCAGGGTCCTGATAGCCTAAAAGGACTGCCCGAGCTTTGGCCTTGTAGGACCCGTCATCGCGCAGCTTCCATGTCAACAGCCATCTCATGCCCATTGCCTGACTCTTGTCAGGCCGCATCCCAGCCGGTAAAGCTTCAAAGGCCTTTGACGCGACAAAGTTCCGCACTTCCACAGCCTTAGCCTCCTTGAAGCTCATTCTCTCCCCTTCAGAGAGACGTTTCTCGGATACCTCCACAGCCTTGCGTTTCAAGGCACTGACGAAATAACCACACAGGTCTCTGGTGGCCAAGTCCATGCCTCGCCGACTGCTTGGCATATCTATAGCCACTTCCACAGCTGCGTTTTCCTCCACCCGGAAACTGCAGTGCTCACCAAAGCAGGCGGTGGGCATTCGTGACCACCAGTTCTCAGCCTCTAGTGCTTCTTCAGGCAGAGATGGGGAGGTTCTGGGCCTCCGTGGTCTGCTGGGTGTCGAAGGTTCACCTGGCTCGTCCTGAAGGTCGTCGTGCATGTCCGTGGCTGCTTCAGGTTCGCCTCTTTTTCCTCGCACTCGCATGCGAGGGGTTGAAAATCGTGCTGGCGGGGTTTCTTGCTCCGGATCTTGGGCTCTTCGCCACTCATCCTCTGCTGGCACCTCACCTGAGATGTCTTCGTAGCGGTTTCCGCCAATCTCTTCTGCCACCCCGGAGAAAGTCCATGGTGTTCCACCATCCGCGGTTCGAGCCGCCAGAGCCTCCAGATGCTCCTCTCTGGGAGAAGCGTGGCGCAGCTGCTCTGGACTGCACTTCATGAGGGACCTTCCCCTCACTAGCCAGACCGCGCTTCCAGCTCGGAGGGCGCCGTCCTCCTCTCGACGCCCCTCTGTGGCCAAAACTCGTGCTGGTCCCAAGAAGCGACCATGTTTGCTTCCTGGGGCCTTTCGGCCTTGTCCACTCTCTTGAGTCCTCCAGAAATAAACCAAGTCTCCTGGGGCATACTGTGCTCTCGGTCTGCTCCGCGAGTTCATTGCCCGGCTAATCCTTTGCTGGGCTTGCCAGTCACACAATGCCTTTTCCGCTGACGCGCGGGCTTGCGCGGCACGTGCGAAATCCTCGCCGGCATTCTCCACCACCCACTCGTCTGGTAGGTCACCTGGGCGCTTGATCAATCGCCCGGTCACATCTGGGTTCCTTCCAAAAGCATGCTGGATCGGGGTAAAACCTCGAATCTGCTCACGGCTATTGAAAACCTCCACCGCCAAGGAGAGAGCCTCCTCCGGCGTTCGCTGATCGTCCTCTGCTGTGATACGATCTAGAACATGCTTCAGGCCCTGCACGGCCTGTTCGCAGACTCCCAACTGCCAATGGGCATCAGCTGGGATTAAATCCAGATATATGCTGTTCCGGTCACAGTAATCTTCAACCTGCTTACTTCTGAAAGCTCCTGCTGGGTCCAAGCGAAGAACATCTGGCCTGCCAAAGATCTGACTCCAACCTTCCCTAAGGTGCTCGAGGCATGTGGCAGCGGATGGTTGCTGTTTGCTTCCTCGGCTAAGAATCTTGGCGGTTCGGAATCTTGACCCTTCGTCAATGATGATCATAAATTGCACATGCTCCCCGGTGCGGGGATGAACCCAGTGTCCAATGTCGGCAGAAATCGTGTGCCATCTTGGAGGAAGAATTTCCAGAGAAGCTAAATTCCTGGGAGGGGGTCGCTTCCGTTCTTGGCACGCAGAACACTGAAACCGCTGGGCTATCTCCAACACTTTTCCCGACACACCTCGACGCTTCAGTGCATCAACCATGGTGCGAACACTCCCGTGTCCCGTAGCCGAATGCAACAGGTGGAGTTGTTTCATGATCCGGGCTTCCTCCTGTTTGCTACTGGTAGACGTCGCCACATAGCTTTCAAGATTTCTTTCAGGCTCAAACTTCAGGTGTTTGGGTTTGGGGGGCAAGTTGAACCCTTGTTGTTTCGCTCTAGCTCTCTCACTCTCCTCCAAGTGATGGGCCCCTCGAGACACGAAAGCCGTAATCACAAATCTCTCTCCAGTCCACTTCTGAGACTCATGCCACAACTTCGGAGAAAACTTCACCACACGTCCCCTCAACTCATGAACCCGGCCTTCGCACCATTCTCCACTCGGAAGTTGTCGTTGAAGGCAGTGTCCAGTTGATGGCGTGTCCGCTGTCGCTTGTACCCACAACCCTCCATGCTGAAAGTTTCCTAAACCTATGCTGTGATTGTTGTAGGCCTCATCATTGTTCACATCACTACAGAAAGGACCTCCAGACCAGTTTTCCATGAAGGCATTCAGGTACCTAGTCAGCTCCGGGAACCTACTGCTTTTCTGGGTCAACCCGTAATGGTTTCCATACGCATAGACTCCAAGAGTGACATAGACAACCCTTTGATCTCCAAGCATGCGGCGGTGCCTGTTGATGGGTCTCAGGGGCAGTTGGCGCAAGAGGGCTTCACAGGATTCCAGCTTAAAGTCTTTGCTGTTCAAGAGGTCCCGAGCCTGGGCTTCAGTCTGATGGAGCTCTTCGTGACTCATGAACGCCTCACACTCCTCAAGAGACACCTCGCTCTCACCTTCCTTAGGTCGTCGCCCTGAAGCCTCAGAACTTCCTGGCGTACACATCCCACACTGTCGAACCTCACTAGCAGTTCGCACCTCGGAACACACACAACACAATCCTTCACCAAACCCTTCAGTAAGTCTACTTTGCCCTCGCAACTCCTCTTGAACTTGATTGGCATCTAACTCCCGAACCAACACTTCAGCAACGCGCTTGCAGAACTCACGGGTCACCTGAGGTTTGGCAGAAGCCTTACAACTCTTGAGCTCTCCATGCTGATACTCAGACGCACACCTACACGGAAGGTTCATGCACTCAGCAAGACGTTGACACGTAGTGGCTATTTTCCAACCATTCCGAATCAACTGCCCTTCTTCCGAAGTTCTCAAGTTCACCCGGCAACCCTTCGTCACCGCAACCTGAAGTTCACCCCTCTTTAACATCCTTTGAATGATAGGAAGTCGCCATCCATTGCAGTGTTCGGGCCACTGCCAAGTGCAGTGAATACCTAGTTGCCTACACGCATGCATGAGGGTGATGGCTCCTAAGTACTCCTTGGTGGCTTGGCTTCTCTTTGCTTTCAGCTCAGCTTGTTGTTCAGGGGTGTTTTGGTTCATCTTCTGGAGAGGAGAAAAAGCTTCACTTGAGGGGTGCAACCACACATGACGAGGCTTCTCAAGTTTAATCCTATTAAGCAACAAAGTCACCCCTTCGGACGTTCCCAAATCACACCTGTCATGCTTTCCACACTGGATGGCTGCTTCTGTTCGGCCGGTCAGGCCTTGCACGGTGGCCGAGAGGAGGCTCTGCGGAGAACTTACCACCTCCAAAAGAACCATTCTCCCTTCCACAACCAAGCCCTCAAAAATCTTCGGAATAACTTCAGAACCCCACTGCTCAAATTGACGTGCCCGTCCTAGACTCAGCTGTTGGCTCAGCTGCTGGGATGCACTCATAGTTCCCGGGGGTTCCTGGATCTCCTCCTCTGTCTCATCTAAGGAGAACCCGCCAAGGAGAAGCTCGTTGTTGAATCCGCGTCCTCGCCGCTGGCCTTCTTGCGAGGTCTCTCTCCCTTCAATGTGGCCATCTCCTCCTTGAGGTTCTCGATCGTCTGCACCAGGTTGGTCAAGACCTCGGTCCCCACGGTCACGGTGTTGGGGTCCTCGACAGCTGCCGAGCTGGAACTGGCAGCCTTGCTGGTGGTTGCAACCTTGGGGGCCGCGATGTCGTAGTTCATCTTGCGAGGCGTCGTCGGCTCGTTCGGGTAGTGGGCGACCTCCACTTTGTTCTTCATCTGACCCATCGTCATGAACTCCTCTTGGGCTCGCTTCACAAGGTTCGGGTCGTTGGCCAGCCATCCTGCCAGCCTGCGCAACCGTGGGTTGCACTGTCCCTCGGCAGCCGTCTGAATCACCCAAGCGCTGTACTGAGGGTGTTCGGCTTTGACCGTGGCGTAGGTCAACTGACTGTGACGTCCGAAACCCACCAAGTCCGAGGGGTCTGGGCAGGCCTTGCCGTAGATCACCGAGAGCGCCTCCTTCTGCAGCTGGGCTATGGTGAGGTTGTAGTTGACCTCCATGTCCAGCGTCTTCCTGCAGAACGTCTGCAGCGTAGCTTTGCGGGTGGCCGCCTGGTTCAACGCCGTCACGTACATCTGGTACTCCGACTTCTCCTTCTTCTGGGGCTTGGTGTAGTCCACCCCGGTCACCTCTTCCACACGTTGAAGGAGTTCGACTTTCGACCACCTTTTCGGGGCGATCTCTCCGTGCTCGCTCAACACCTCCCTCAGCTGACCCGCTGTCTTGGGTGCCATGGCCGCACGAGTTCGAGGAGTGAGGACCTTTGGTTCTTCTTGATCTGGTTAAGGGCTGCTGGCAACCATGAACATGTAATCCTCGATGCTCTGCTTCGCTGCGTACACGACTGTCACTGTGAGCTGGCTCTTCCGAGACATGAACCGCACTCTGCTGACTACTCACAACATACACTGGTTCAGGATCACACCTATTCTCGTGAATGGCAAGACGTTTCGTACTCCCATTCTGAAACCCCTGTCCTGTAACTACATCACATCCCTCCCGTTTCTTGACAGGACGCAAGTCGGGGAGGAGCTGTCCCTACTCATCGGCAGGCGATTGCAAAAGCCAATCAAGGCCCGGCACTTTCTGTACAGCGCGCTGAGCCTTGGCGAGAAGATCTTCGGCAAGGGGCACCACCAGATGACCTGTAGCTGTCTGCTCGAGGGGCAAGACTTTCGTATCGTCAATAGCCCTGAGGACCACCATCTTCGCCGAGAAGTCGATGAGAGCGCCGAGCATGCCGAGGGACTCAACGCTCAACAAGATCGGTCCGGTGCCATGGTCCAAGGCATGGATTTGCACTGCACCTGACCAGCTTCCAGCTGATATGCCCATCTTCACTGTTGCCGCGCACTGGTTCATAGAGGAGTTCCCGAAGCTGAACACTGGGCGGTTTGTGGAGTCCACGGACACCACACCTGAGGACCCTCTGGCCTTAAGGTTCATCTCCATCAAGCGCTCCAGGGCATAGACTGAGCCTATACTTCGGGTAGCCCCGCAATCCAAGATGGCCTTTCCTTGGGCTACAGCTTCTGAAGTAGAGATCCCTGTAACCATTGCGGACTCTGCCTCCGGGATCGCGTCCTCCAGGTAGCCGATGAATGCATCCGTCTCCGCATTGGCTCTCTGTTGCTGGTGCTCCCTGGAAAGCTCGAAGTCGAAGACCTGGATTGCCGAGTGGTCCTCCGGGATCGCGTCCTCCAGGTAGCCGATGAATGCCTTCGTCTCCGCATTGGCTGTCTGCGGTTCTGGCCTTGTGTTGGGCTCGAGGAAGTTCTCCTGGATTGCCTCGGGCTCCTCTGGGATCATGCCCTCCGCGTAGCATATGAAGGATGCCGTCTCCTCGTGAGCCACGTTCGCAGAGGGGGGTGGTAGAGGACAATTTGCTGCTCGATGGCCTTTCTTCTGACACCGAAGACATATGATTTGCGAATCATCTCGGGTCCTCTGGGACCCCGAAGCCTGGCTGCTTCCTGGTCGTGATCCCACCTTGTAGTACTGCCGGGACATCTTCACGGCATGCTGCTTTGCTCGAGCATCCCGGAGAGTTCTCCGAGCTGTGTTGATCGCAGCCATGGCTCCTTGTATGTCATTTTGGGCCTCACTCCACATCGCAAAACTGTCGTCATCGAGGGCTTCCTGGGCCTCGGCATCGTCCATGGGTTCCTCGACTTCCTCGTCCAAGGTCTCATCCTCGATGGAACCCCAATACCCATGCTGGCGCTTGTTGGTGTCGCGCTTCTTCATGTCGCCGTCCGTGAACAAAGTCCTCATTGCGTGGGCTATAGCATCCACACTGTAGTCCTCGCCTGTTGTTGTCATCACCAGGCCTCTTTCATTGGAGTCCAAGCCTGCATCTTGCAACAACAGCCATCCCTGAATGAAGTCGGGGAGCAACTCGGGGAGTGCCTCGGGGGAGCTCACGTAGCTCTTCCAAGATTGTCCTTGGTACCCATAGGACCACTGGTCCCACGAGGACCCTGTCCAACCTCCCCAAGAGGAGCTGGACCACCAGTTGTCCGGCGCCCAGGTCCAGTTCGACATCGGTGCTGCTGTCGATTCTTCCTCCTCGGGTGGTTGCTCATCTCCACCGTCCACTCCTGAGTCCACCGAGCTCCGGCGACTCCAAGCTCCAGTGTAGCTGCCTCGCTCACTCGAAGGCCACGCTGTCTCCGTCCTCGGCTTCCGTGTTGTCTTACCCAATCGAGCCATGGCCTGTTGGGCTCGAAGGTAAACTTCGCTTCGACGTGCCACGTAGTCATTGATACTCTCGCCCGGTTTCCTTCTGCTGTACTTGAAAAACTTGCTCAGGTGTTCCGTTACCTCGGAAATCTTCGGTCTGCCAAGCCCTTGGCGTAGCTTCTCGATAAGCCTCTCCACGCCTCCAGCAAAGGATAGCCAATCCGCCGGCTGTCCCGTGATGAACTTCTTGGCAGACCCTGTCAATTCCGCGGCAATCCGCGGAGCCACCTGCGCCCTTTTATGGGGCGCCGTTCCTTGCTCATAGAGCCTGGCAGCTTCGACAAACTCTGAAAAACCCCCTGGGTCTCCGTCCCAGATAGGGACCCCTTCTCGGGTCCTTGTCGTCGTTGCTGCCCCACTTGTCATCTCTGATCGGCCTCGCGGATCAGAGCCTAATTTCCCTGGATCGTCACCTCGACGAGCCTTCCGTCAGGCTCCAACGCTACCATGCAAGTGGTTGACGTGTTCTCAAGTATGCAGCTGCAGAAACTGGAGCGAGGGAAGCGACTGAGCAGCGGCACACACGCGGCAGCTATACTTCTTTTCCCCAAGACCCCAGACTCGATCAGAATCAACTGCGGAAGACCAGACAGCGGCTGAAGCAGACTAGCTGAAAAGCTTGCAAACCCTATAAACCCTATAAACCTTACAAACC